GGTCGGTAGAGCGGTATCGGAGAAAGGATGTCGACGTCGCGTATCCACTTTGGTCGACAGAGCGGTGTATGGATAGGAAACCGACGTCGCGTATCCACTTCGGTCGGTAGAGCGGTATCGGAGAAAGGATGTCGACGTCGCGTATCCACTTCGGTCGTCAGGATGTCTAGGATCTCTAGGAGTTTTGAGTTCTGGTCGGTCGTACGCCTGAGAGGAGCCTTCCGATCAATCTCTCCCGATATCAATTTTCTGTCGGCTTTTATACTAAGTTATAACAAACAGTTCGACTGTTTGTTGACCTTGCGGTTATTCCGCGCGCGGTTGTTCGGCGTTTCTTTGTTAGTATTATAGTTATTGTTTCGGCCGTCGTGACGATTCTCGAATCGTCACATCACTCTCCCCCTTTGTAGTGCCTGTCCCGGGCACTCGCAACTTAAATCTAATTAATCCTACTTGCGCTTAACTCTATTTCTACCCTACCCTTCACCACGTTAATTACCCCTACATAATCTATATCTAAAGTACCCTTCACCACTTGTTATTGAGTTTGTAACCTATCTTAACCTAACCTTAATTATCCTTACTCGCTTTTACTTTATAAGGTATCTTTAACTCTCCTTCTTTTGTAAACTTGACCCGCCATAGTTCCCCGTCTACATACCGTCGGTATTTGTGAGTTACGTGCGCCGCGTGGTATGGCACGTCGATTGTTCTACCTCCGGAAATGGGGATCCTGTATGTTGGCCCCGTGTTTACGTCTTGTGGAGTGCGGGTTTTCATGCGGATCCTTAGTGTTATCGGCGTATCCGAGATGATTTCTGGCAGTTTCCTTGTCTGGTCCGGTTTTCTATGCGCCTCGCTGGTCTCTTTAGGTGGTGCCTGGGGTGCTGGTGGCGTGGCCGTCGTGTATGGCCTGATGTGTGGCCGTCGTTTCTGTGTTGGTAGCCGTTTACCCGTCTATTGCTTCATCAGCGCTTGTAGCTTTTTCTGCGCTATTCTTGCCGTAGGTGGAGTTTTAAGGCAAGCGATGGCCGGTTTTCGCTTCGCTGGTTTGCCGATTGGTCTGTCTGACGGTGGTCTTTTTCCTGGTGGGAGCTTTCTTCCTGCTGCTTGGCTTTGTGCTTCTGCATTCCGGTTTGTGTCCTCGGTTTTGGTTAGCGTGTCCCTTAGCGCCTGGGCCTCTGTCTTGTTCCAGGTTGTTAGCAGTTCGTCGATAGTTTTATTTACGTCCATTGCTGCCTGACGAGTTTCTCCCTTCGGGCTGTGGTTCTGTCTCTTTTATAGCTGTTTCCCGCTTCTTGGTGTGTTTATTTGTTTGCCTTGGTTGTGCTATGTTTGTCCTTAGCGTGTCAGGCCAAAACCGACTCGGGTAATTTTTCCGTTATTGGGGTAATGGTTCTGTCGGCGGTTTCCAGTTTTCAAGTCAATTTCTCATTTTCTGGTTGAATTTCATTTTGATTTCTTTCTCTGGTGCTGCTGATTTGCTGGCTCTCTTCCTAGTGTCCTGATTACGCTTGGCTTGCTCTTTTAATGTTCTAATTCCCTCCTCCGATCTCGATTATTTGGTTGGAGGGGATTAATTTTTGTTTGTTGTCTAATCGCTGTTGTTAGGTTTGAGGTTATGTATATGTATGTGTTTGTACCATTTTTTGTTTTCGTCGATTAGATCTACAATTACTGGTGAGATAATTCTTTTCACTGTTAGCGGTCCCATGTACTTTGGTGCTAGTTTTGAGTTGATAGCTTTCTCTTTGTTGGATAATGTATGCGTCCGTTTCCATACGATATCCCCGATATGCGGTTTCCAGGCCCTTCTCCTCAGATTGTAAAATTTTTCTTGCTTTCGTGTTAGATTTGTCAGTGGTACCGCTATTTTTGAAAACCCCGCGATGAAG